TTTTTTGGTTGCAGCCATCATTGTTGTTTGGCAGGCCTGGGCTGGGGATTTGAACCCACCACCTTAGGTGTATGTGGCTGGCGCCTTAGCCGCTTGAGCCACAGGCGCCGAGCCAATAATTTCTTCTGATACATCTTTCAGTCTACTAACAACATTCTCTTTAGCCGTGTCTAATTTGCTGTTAGGCTTGTCTGCTGATATATATATCCATTTTGAGACAGAGTCTTGCTTTGTTGCCCATATTAAAGTACAGTGGTATAAGCGGAATTCACTGCAAATTTGAACTCCTGGGCTCAAGTGATACATCTGCCTCTGCCTCCTGAGTAGCTAGAACTACAGGCATGTGCCCCCATGTCTGGTTAATTTTTTTTTTTTTTTTTTTTTGGTAGAGACAGGGCCTCATAGCATTGCCCAGGCTACTCTTGAACTCCTAGGCTCAAGTGTAAATTCTTAATTTCAGTTGTTTTCCTTCTTAGTTCTGTACATTTAATTTGGTTTCTTCAAATCCACTTGGTCATTTTTTATTAGGAGAAAATTTTTAGCTTGTTTTATATTTCTTTAGCTATAGTAAACATTATTGCTTTATAGGCTATATAATTAATTCTAATAGCTTATCATTTGTGGATCTGTGTTTTTTCTGTTGGTTATAACTCTCATTGTCTTGTTTCCTTTTTATTTGGTTGGTTGGTTTTATCTGTTCACTGGCTATTAATATATTTGAAAAATTATTTGTAGGAATGATTGAAAGTCTTGAATGAATGTATCTGTTCTAGACCAGATTTTCATTTGCTTCTAACAGGTGCATGGGACACCCTATCATTCTAGTATCATCTTAGTCCTAGCTCAAGGCTTGAGGTTCCCTAGACCAACCAGATGATGCAAATCTGGATTACCAGTCAGTACAAAGGCTGGTTTATTTCCAGTTTACCTTTACTCTGAAGGTCATATTCTGTTTAGGTTCCATCCTAATGGGTGTATGTGGGTGGGGAGGGAGAGATTTGTCACACTCCTCACTTTGGGTGGACCCTGGAGTTGGACATCTTGCCCAAAAAGGCCTAAAATAAATGTAGCTTCAAGTGCTGGACTTACTTAAATGGGTTCTTGCTTTTTTTGAGATTTTGGCCTAGAAATTCCTCACTATCATGTTAGCTCTTTGATGGTTTTAAGAATATTTGGTATATCATCCCACTTTTTAAATGTCGTCACCAGGTGATTAGTGTGAATTATCTAATTTGTCATTAATTGAAACTGAAGTTCCTATCTTAAATTCTTTTCATTACCTAAATATATTTTTCTATAGCATTTCCCCACTGTATATGTTGATAATAGGTAAGAAATTAATATTCTTATAAGTCCTATAGAATTAGAAGGTAGTTGGTTGTCTTTTTTTTTTCTTTCATAGAGACAAGTTCTACACTGTATTGCCCAGGCTGTTCTCCAACTCCTGGGCTTAAGCAACCTTTCACCTCAACATCCCAAAAGGCTACGATTACAGGCACAAGCCACCAAGCATGGCCTTTTTTGAAGTTAGTGTGACTAACTCAAATATAGATTTCTTTCCAAAGTAAGCCTTTCAAGCATATGAAACCATGAAAGCACCAAAAAGCTCAAAGCCTTCTCTTTTTGTCCACTCTTCTTACCCTATTATGAGGCTTTTTTGGAGATGACAGAGATGAAAGAAAGAAAGGCTTTACAGCTAGGTTAGTACCTGGGTTAGAGATTTTCATAGGTTTTGCATTTCCTACCATTTAATTGGCTTAGGATAGTGGTTCCCAATTAGTGAACCTAGAGGCTCTGGGTGGAATTTGAGGGGTAGGAGTAGGCTTGGCTTTATTACAAGGAGTCTATGTAATCATTGGCCAATTACTGTCTATAAACTCAATCATAAAATCACAACTACTGTCATGGGGGGGTAATACTAAATTTTTTATATGAATTTAGTATCTAGAACACTCTGATGCTGCAGTTCCTAGGGGATTCAATAACCAATTTGTCCCCAGAATGTTACAGATTTTTTACTCTTTACACAAATGCCCCACATGTTTTATTTAGTTGTGTTGGTGGTGTTCCATGTGACAGTCTTTTCATCACTTTATTCTACCATCTATCAAAATTATAAAACAGCTAGGCATAGTGGCTAACACCTGTAATCCTAGCACTTTGGAAAGCTGAGGCAGTAGGATTGCTTGAGGCCAGGAGTTCAAGACCAGCCTAAGCAAGAGCACGACCTGCTATCTACAAAAACCAGAAAAATTATCCAGGCATTGTGGTGGTACACACCTATAGTCTCAGCTACTTGGGAGGCATTAGATACATTAGAGACAGGGGGATACATTAGAGGCAGATACATTAGAGGCAGGGGGATTGCTTGAGCCTGGGAGTTTGAGGCTGCAGTCAGCTATGACGATGCCACTGCACTCTAGCCTGGGCAACAGAGTGAGACACTGTCTCAAAACAAACAAACAAAAAAATTATAAACCACTTCTTCCTGAGAACCTTTTCTTGTAGACAGTATATTCAGTAAACAGAGGTACTCCCAACCAGGCCAAAAGAATTCTCATGGTGTTTTGTTTTTTTTCTCTTGATGCTGATTAGAATTCAGACACTACTCGCCTCGTCAGTCCACAGTTCGATCCCCAGAGAAGATGACTAGAGAAGGGTACCGAATATCTTTTTTTGACAATAAATCTTCAGGTTCTTCTCCAGAAAAAGACTTGATACCCAAACCTGATATGTACCAGCTTACCCACGATGCCTCCTTGAGTAAACGTCTGGATGTGGGTGATTCTAGCCAGATCCATCCTTATCCATTACCTTCAGATGTTGGTCTAGAAAATTATGATAGTCATTATTCTCAAATTTTATCCATGCACGGAAGTCTTGGTAAAAAACATCAGAGAAGCAAGAACTATCGAGAATATCGCATAAAGCCTTCAAATGATATAAGGGCCACCGCATCCCACTCCTGTGGAGACTTACAGACTTCTCTGTCAAACCCTGACTCCAGCGCCGGAAGGCTTTTGAAACTTAGTTCAGGTAACAGCTTCCTGTCATTTTATAGGTTTGCTTCATAGGCATGAAAATAGAAGGTATAATTGGAAATTTTGGATTAATATTTCTTAAATTGCTTTAGCATTTATTAAATTGTATTTCAGGGTCACCAGTGATTCTTGGAAGCCCCAGAAATCTGCAGCGTATGAGTTTCATATGATAGATACATTGGAGAAAATTTGTAGAATGTGAGCGTCACAATTATATGCTGATTTAGTTAAGTAGCGTCCTAGGACATGTTTCTAGCACCATCTAGTCTTGTTTGGCCACAGTCATTTCTATTCTGAGTCACTTTCATACATTAGTTTCAGAATGAGTGATACAGACCATTCAGTTGTTTATTTATTCAACAAAACTCACCCACAATGTTCCAGACACTGTCCTAACTCTGTAGACAAAGTAGAAACAAAATTTTGCGTATACTTGACCATACTTTTAAAAGTCCCTAATTTTGTGGAGTTTACATTATAATGGGAGTAAAATAGATGATAAACATCTTAACATATAAACATCTGCCAGGTTATGGTAAGTACTGTGAAGAAAAAATAAGGGTACAGAAAGTAAGGAGGAGATGATATTGTAGTGAGGTGTCATAAAAGTAGAGACTTGAATGAAGTGACAATGTAAGCCATGTGGATTTTTCTAGACAGTGGGAATGGTAAGTGCCAAGTTCCTGAGGCTGGAATATGCATGCCATGTTCAAGGAACAATGAAGAGGCCTGTGTAGCTATAGCATAGAGAGGGAAGTGCATAGATGAAGTCAGAGTAGCCAGGCTTTTATTCTGAGTGAGATCAGAAGTAGTTGGAGGATATATAGCAGGAGAGTAATGTGGTCTCACTTAAGAATTACTCTGGATGGGCTCAGCGCCTATAGCTCAACCGGCTAAGGCGCCAGCCACGTACACCTAAGGTGGCGGGTTCGAATCCCCAGCCCAGACC